TAGAAATAACGCATTGATTAAAAACAAAACTCTGCAAGAAGCACAAATCAAATGGAAACCACTGGTTCTCAATGATTTGAGGGATATTTTATATGAATGACGTTAGGCTATTTCGATTGAAATAAGGCAGAAGGTTATTTTTTGACGAATGCTTAAAATTGCTGGTGCTCCTCATTAAAGTGGCTGAGAGTTTATTCAATAATAACTAGGCCTTAACATATTGGATCGACCCAGGTCTGTACTGATTTAGCTGGTGGCAATAGGAACAGGAGTATGCCATTTAGCCCCTCGAGCCTGTTTCCACCATTCCATCAGATCATGTTGATCTGTACCTCAACTCCATTTACCCGCCTTTGCTCCATATCCCTCGATACCTTGACAAAACAAAAATCTATTCACGTCAATCGTGAAAATTTTAATTGATCCAACCATAATCCACAGTCTTTTGTGGGAAAGAGTTCCAGATTTCCAGTCGGCTTTGTGTGAAAATTGCTATAGGTTTGCTCTAATTTGGTTGCACAGAAGGAGCTTTCAGGAGAGAAACTTGTTTGGAGGAAAATATCTCATTGCCTGAAATGTTACAGTCATGCTGATTGTGTGAGTTCTGATTTGATTAGATGTATCAGTCACTGGTGCTAGTATTTAGCACAATTAGTGACCAATGAATATTTGTTCAGTCGCTAGGTTCGAAAGCCCAAGTGTCCGTGCATTTGTAAAGCACAAAACTATTAAACATTGGACATTATACCACAGACTGGAATTGTACCAACAAAGATAAAGCAAGTTTAAGAAAGGTTCTGGTGTTGTTGACCTGTTGGCCTATTTGATCTCATCCTTACTAACATTACTATCCTTATTTTCCTATTACAACAACAAGTTGTTTCTTAAATGAGTCCAATACCTCGGCGTTGCCTGTTTGAGCTCTTGGTTAGTTAGCTTTTGTATAAAAGAGGCTTATTCTACACTTGTCCTTCGCTAGTGAACCTCACCATGAGCTCCCCTCTCCTGTCCTGCTGCCTTGACGTATCTCAAAAAGTATTGTTTTTCACAACTAGATACAGACTTTCCCTCTTCAGAGGGCCAGAAATGACTGTTCCTCCCTCCCTCTTCAGTCAGCCAATGATTGAACGCTTGCCCAGTTTATTGACTGCCTAGGATTCAGACGTACAAACAGCAGATTATTAGACAGCCAAGGATTGGGCACCATCCCAATACAGCGCTGGGGAATTTTTAAAAAATATTTTAAAAGGATTCAGATGCCTCTTTTGCCACGAGGCTACCAGAAATCAGATATGAATACACGCAGCACTAAGCCAACACAAACCAAATTAATATGTGCCATTTCAATGTCCTGGGATCAAACAGACACCCCCCCCACTACCTCCCCAGTTGGCCTCCAACTCACTTGCCAAGAAGCTGACTTCTCCTTCTTAACAATCTTGTCACTTTGCTAAGTGGTCTCGTCGTCAACCTGCCAATCTTCCTGCCTGAAAAGCTGGGATGTTGCCAGTCAGGCCTGCTTCCTGGCGGGAGCGTTGGGAATCTCGCATGTGGCTGAGGTTTACCCTCTGGGAGTCTGAACGTGTGCAGCATCACTCTATGTAGCCACAGACCCCTTCACAGTCCCATTCTGCACTCTGCTTGGAATTTTTCAACCACAGTCCGTAAAAAAAAATTACTGGAAGGAGTAAAAAGAAAACAAGTCACTTTAAGGCAATTTTAAAATGTTTTCATGCTTTCCTTCCTTCCTTTTTTCTTGCCTCCCATCTTATCTTTTTATTCAACTAGTTTTGATTTTAGGGATCTGATTGCCACCCATTTCTGATCAGGAATGTAACAAGAGGACTGTTGGCCAGAAGCCATCTTGGCTTTTCAGTTCATGTTAGGGGTTGGAGGCGTATGGAAACTCAGTTTAGCGTTTCCTCTGATGGGGATGACACCCCCCAATAACGCAGGGATCCCCCCACCCCCACCCGCTCCACTGAACTGTTAGCCAAGATTCTGATCCCCAAAGTTGGACTTAAACCCAAACCTTGTTGACGCGGAGGTAACAGTGATAACAACAACAATTTGCATTTATACAGCACCTCTCACGCAGGGTAGTATCTGAGAGCGTGTGACACCCACTGAACCAAGCTGGTGTCTGTTAAGACATATTGCCAATTAAACCCGTATATTTCTAAAATGCCCCACACCAGATTATATATGTTAAGATCATTTTAAACACATTTCTTAGCAGTTTTCTTCCACCTCCTGGACATCACCATTAATTAATGGCTGGAACCAAAGGTGGTGTTCTCAGTCTGTTGATCATACAAGTCTAAGTTGATACAAGTTGATATGAGAGGGGGTTAGGGTTAGGTGCTTCATTGAAGAAAGATCACTTTTGATATGTTTTAAATCCCCAAACTGAGAAAGACGAGTTGGCTTACGAGCTACGACAAGTTGTACCTTGATGCAAACTGAGCCATAGGATAACGAGGTGGGTTTGGGATCTAAATAATAATAAACCTTGTACTGGGTGTCGTGCCTTTCACACCCTAACTGTTATCCCGGCTGAAATGGACTAACTCAGGATTATGACCATCAGGTTTGTGTAGCATTAAGCAAATCAACAACGACTGTCATTTACATAGCGCCCTTCACGTGGGAGGGTTCTCAGAGCACTTAATCACCAGGTAACAAGGTATCTGTGACTGAGCTGAAGACACTTGCCCTTTATGATTCCTGTTAGTTTCCGGGTCAGAAACACTGCGTTTTATAAGGGATTTTTTTTAAAAAAATTAGAATAAACAAACATTCGATTCTCTGCAACACACTTTATTACACCGAATAATATGGGGGGACATTGAACAATGTGAGTTTCCTCTGCTAAATCATGCCAAGCTCCTATTCTTCCCCCTTTCCTCTCCTTTCCCCTCCCCGGGAGGAAAGACCACCCATAAGAAATCGTTTAAAATATGCAGCAACTGCCTCGAACAGATGTTCCAATTAAACATAATCTGAAACTAATGGAGGTGCCATCTGTCAGGCAGGACTCGCTGCATTTACAAGGTAGCTGCGGGCGGTACCCAGACTTTAGTGGGAGGGGGGGGTTCTCTGGAAAAAAATGACCAAAACAGACTCATTGCAACGATGACGTGGCTCTCCGCAGCTTATAAACTGCGCCTACACATTGCTCAGCTGTTTCGAGAGTCTGTGTGCATGTCTGTCTGGGCTCCCTGCAGGAATGCACAGCAGTCTCTCTCTTTTCTTTCCCTCCCTCCCTCTCTCTCTCTCCCTCGAATAACTCCTTGAGCATCAACTCCTGCTTCTCCATAAAACCATTTTTACCTGGTTACAGCTGTATAGTTTTATCTTGGGGTTTATTTTAAGACTGTAATATTTCAGGCAGAGAGAGACACCAGAAGATATCAGTGGGGACAGATTCCAAAAGCGTCTGTAAACAAGGTTCAAGTACAGTATAAACACATGTACACATTAATGACCATCTGGATGAGTTACACATACTTTGTATAGAATCCTGAGCATTCAACAGTTTAGACAGTATGTATAATCTCATTACGCCATCTGTCTGTCTGTCTGTCTGTCTGCCTGTTTGCACAGTGTGTGATTACACACTACACTGCGTAAGGTCTGAATAAATCCCGACAGCACATTGCAATGCTACTTTTTCTTTTTTCTGATAATGATGGACTTTGACAGCTTTCTGTCTTGGAGGGACACTGAAAGTGACAAAACTTGGCTCTTAACATTGACCGAGGTGAGATCAGTCATTGAACCATCAGCTGCGGTGAAACCTTAGGCAAGTTTCCTTACTCCACGCGCCTCTGTTCACCACCAGTAAGTAGGAAGCCGGTTGTTAGTCGATTGGCGGATCACTTTCCGGGGATAATAATCCCTCCATAGAAAAAAAGTGGTCACTTAATCCACGACTGTTTGTGGGACGCTGCTGTGCCCAATTGTTTTTTGCGTTTCACCCACAAAACACAGAGTCACTGCACTTTACAGCGTATCCTGTGAAGCGCTTTGAGATGTCGCAACAACGTGATAAGGCCCTGGGTCAAATGCAAGAATCATTATCATTGAGCATTTAGCTTCCAGAAAAGATGGAAAGTTCAGGAAAGTATAGTTACACAGACAGTAATGAACAACACTTTTACTCTAGTCTCGACATTGATCAGCCTGATACATTAAAACATGAGGCACATGTTCATCTGGCAAAGGCCCAATAAATGGCTATTATTGCACAATATTAAATATTTATCCATACTTTCATATTGAGAATCCTAGATCTGAGCTGAAAAGGCAGAAACTAGTCTTTTTTTAAAAAATCCATGGTTCTGATTTCATATTTTTTTGTTTGCATTGCACAACCTCTCGATTGGACCTGCAACTGCTTGTTAATATTTTATATTATTTTGCAAATCAAGGGCATTTGGAGAACAGTATTGAGATCTTAACATCGAGCTTCTCGGAAGCTGTGTGTGTCAGCCTGGCTCAGCTTGTACCAGTCCCGCCTCCGAGTCAGGAGGTTGTGGGTTCAAGTCCCACATCGGAACCTTAAACTCGGATCATCTAGGAGCGATCCTGAAGCAACGCAATGCTGGTGATGTGACGTTGTTCCATTGTCGGAGGTGCCGTCCTTCAGATGAGACTTTAAACCGAGGTCCCGTCTGCCTGTTCAGGTGGACGTTAAGGATTCCATAGCACCACTCAAAAAAAGAGTTTCATGCTCTGTCCCTGTGTCCTGGACAACAATCCCGAAAAAAACTATCATTCACTTCATGACTGTTTGTGGGGCAATGCTGCGTCATTATACTTTACAATATACCCTGAGAAGTGCTTTGACACATCCTCCCTGAAAGGTGCTGTATCAAATGTAGGAATTATTTATTTAAGAGGGGTAATAAAGCGGTGTTTGCTGGTGTGCTGATGCACCACACCACACCCAGCGTTGCACTCGAGCAACATTCAAGCAAGTTGTTTGTGCAGCACCTGAGCTGTGTAAATACTTAGGTAAAAAGAAAGTCGTTACAAACATCCATAAAAATTGGGACATCTGCATCCAGCCCTGACACCTTCCATTCGATGTCATCATCAAGATTCAATCTCATTTAGTGTTGTCACAAAATCTCGTGCCAAAGGAGAAAGGCTTCAGAGCTCTGTGTTCTACAACGATGAGACTTCAACTCTTTGATATCTGTCCCCAGACGCTCCTCTTCGGTCAGGAATTCGACAACAGCATTTGATTTCTGAGACCCTAGGAAACAGAGTTTACGATGTGAAAAGATGTGACATTTGTAACTTTCCTTATTAGCAAACGTTCTGTTTATTGAGTATTGACGCTCTCAATCCCAATGTCTCAACAGACAAGATCACAGCTCAGAGCACACGCCACCACCCCCACCCCACCCCCAAATATTTATACAATTGGGGGCATATTTTCCTCTCGTTGGTGCAATTAGTACACGATCAACAAACAACAGGAGGAAAATGGGAGTCTCACCAACAGTTACATTTCATGTGTGTAACAGAGGATTGCAAGTTTGCTCTTTTGCGCTACACGCAATAACAGCAGGAAATGAAAATCCTTCAGATGAGACGTTAAACCGATAAAGTAAGAGAAACACCGAGCTGTCTTTAGCAACACGGATGCTGCGCACCAGAGATTAATGAACCGTGGGCGCACAGACACAACCCCTCAGCTGACACGATGGGGGTTTCTTGTCTTGCAGACAATTGGTGACGGAGGGATTATAGTCTTAACAACTCCTGATCCCCATTCAAACATGGAGCGGTGGCATTTCAAAAGAATGTAACTGAATCAGGGAGAAGGTCGACGATGTAATGTTGCTGTTACAGGAGGGTGTAATGGTATAGGGCGGCCTGCAGACTGCTGCTGTAATCTGATGATACAGCGTTAATCCAGATGGTGGCTCCCTGCACGGATTAATAGGATAATGAGGTCATGCAGTTCTAACATAGCCTGAGGCACTAATGTGGAGCACGCAGTAATGATATCATACACGTATCATTCAGTCTGCAGGCCCATGTTATGGGGATATGGTTCAATGGGATCATACAGCATTAACAAAGCACAACATAACAGAAAGTACAACATCAACCTGACCAGAAACCCCTCGTAGGAACACAATATACAGTACGATGATCAGATGGGTAAGATTCTCACGCATGGCAGTAGCACACAGCACTAAGCACACAGTCAGTGAATAATTGGCAGATCACTTTTCCGGGGGTCATAATTCAAAATTTGGTCACTTCAATCCACGACTGTTTATGGAGACATCGCTGTGAGCTATTATTGGCTGCCACGATTCACCCACAAAACACACAGTCAATTCACTTTACAGTGTATCCTGTGAAGCGCTTTGAGACGTCTCGAAAACGTGATAATGCGTTGTATCAAATGCAAGTATTATTATTATAATACATTAATGAGCTTGTGCTGCTGTAACCCAGTACGCAAACCCATTTCATGGCCTCCCAGTGTAACAAGGTTGTACAGTATAAACGCAACTTGCAGACCCACAACTGCATGGGGGAGATTCAGGGTAATGAGGTCCTGCATGTATTATGTATTAAATAGAAATTAGTTTATTGGAATGCTAATTTATTCCAGCATAGGTGTAAGGCGCTCATCAAAAAGAGCAAAGTGAGAGGGTAGAATTGCTTTTTGCACAGATAGCTTAAGCGCTCTGGGACACTACCCCCGTGAGGGGCACTATATATAAATCCAAGGATTATTATTAGTAGTAGTATTAATTAACAATAATCCTTGCATTTGATATAGCACCTTTCACTTCAGGAGGATGTCTCAAAGTGATTCACAGGATTTACTGTGAAGTGTAGTGACTGTGCACTTTTGCAGCTGATCACCTGTAGCCAACTTGCCCATAACAATATCCTACAAACAGCCTTGAGGTGAAGGACCTGTTTTGTTGAACCTTATAACTCAGACTCTGTACCTTTGTCAGCCCTCTTGCATTGGGTGGTGAGATTCTATAAGTTTAAGCCAAAACATAATAATAATAATAATAATAATCCTTGCATTTGATATAGCGCTTTTCACGTCGGGAGGACGTCCCAAAGCGCTTCACAGAACACACTGTAAAGTGAATTGACTGTATATTTGTGGGCGAACGCGGCAGCCAATTGCGCACAGCAATGTCCCACAAACAGTCGTAGATTGAAAATGAACAATTTTATTATTGTTTTTTGTTTTTTTGGAGGGATTATTATTAGGCTCTGGGAGATACAATGGGTCATCGGAGATGTTTTCTGCCAAATGGACAGAATTCCCTCCTCCTCTGCTGCCTGTGTTCATTGTGTACAGCGTTGGGAAGGCCGAGGGGGGGATAGGTTGTGCCAATTTCTTCACTGTATGTTCAGGTACCTGTAGCCAATTCACGAAACTGCAGGAGTCAAAGATGGAACCATTCGAGGATATGAGCTTCTTATTAAACGTTCCTAACCCACCATTTCAAAAATTTGAGGATTTTCTCCCAGTTATCTTGGCTGATACCCTGCATTGTCCAAGTTCACCCTAAAATATCCAGATTGATTTCCTCCTCGTCTAATTGTTGTTTCGAGGGATTTAGTTGTTGTGTTTGAGTGTGACATTCCCTTCATTTCAAATTCTTGTCATATTGTGAACCTCTCTGAGGTGTTCCTTTTAGCGTGACAAGTGCTGGACACAATCTAAATGGTTGTGAGTTGACCCTAAATATTTTTGCTAACAGATGAGAATATTTACCGTGCACCAGAGAAGTGTTTGTCAATCTGTTCCAAGGATTCTCCCTTCGTCTCCGGGAGGAAAAGGTATATAAAAACCACAGAAGCGAAACCAACCAAACCGTAGAACAGGAAAGTCCCAGACAGTCCAACTGTATCTGAGCAAACAAACCGCAATCAAACAAATGTAAGTGAAAGAAGCATTTGCACCCATCTACATCTATCTCATCTCTCCCCCATATATAGGTTTCATCACCCCAGTTCTAGCCGGGCTCCACTGGCTCCTTGTTCCCGAACGGATCGATTTCAAGATCCTCACCCTTATTTTCAAATCCCTTCATGCCCTGGCACCTCCCCACTTCCCACCTGCCCACTCCCCAACCCACAAACTACTGCCTCTGTTCAACTGGCTCCAGCCTCCTGCATGTCCCTCGTGCCCTCCGTTCCACCATCGGTGGCTGCACTTTCAAACGGTCTGGAACACTCTCCCTCTAACCCTCCGATTTGTTCCTTCGTTGCTCATCTTCAGATTGCGCCTGAAGACCTTCATCGTCGACTGTGCCTAAGGTCACCTCCCCCCTCCCCCTGGCTCGGAGTCGTGCTCCCCCAAGGTCAAGTTCTCTGGCCCTGAATACATGGCTGGAACATAGGAAAGCTGGATGTCAAGGGTCAGTCATTTTAAGAAAGATCTGATTCACTGATTTGTACTTTGAAAACATCTGATCTGGTTGTCAGTTAACTCACCGATTGTATCCAGGAACGTTAAGGTAACCAGGATGTTTGTCGCCCAGTTGAAGCTGCTCGAGAACGAAAACGCTCGTCCTCTTATTCCCGCGGGAAATATCTCGCTAAGAACCAACCAAGTCACTGAAAAACAAGAGCAATTAACAGCTCGTGTCCAGCAGTGTTCCAGGCAAAATGACATTCCATGTTAATTGATCAGGCGCGTCACAACCAGCAGCAATTTTTATTTTAGAAAAGCATTATCATCGATTCCTGACATTTCCACTTTCACAAGGAAAACAACTCAGCAATAACATTCATGGTTTTATCCTTCTAAACGAGTATACAGAGAGAAGACTTGAAAATATAAAAGACCGTTAGATAAAAAAGATCTTTATCTGGGTTCCTGTCATTCACTTCATTGGTGTTTTGGAGACATTGCTGTGTGCAAATTGGTCGCCACATTTGTCTACAAAATACGCAGTCACCACACTTTACCATAAATTCTGTGAAGCACTTTGAGCCGTCCTTCTCAACATGGAAGGTGCTGTATCAAATGCGATGATTATTATTATTATACTGGAACTGGGATGAAGGACTGGCTGGGGAAGTATTGGAAGCAATTTGAGGTGACGAATTAAGAGGATTCCTCAAGAAACATAGTGGGAATACAGAATCTGCCCACTCGCCTCCTGTTAAACCTGCAAGTCAAAGCCCTAAAGAGTAAGGAGGGTCCGAGCTAGACAACAGTAGAAAGCTTGCCAGACAAGTGCTTACAATGGCAAGTTATGTGGTTTTAGCTGGTTAAGCTCCAGCAATACCAATACACTTTGAGGGAATGTCACAAGCTCAATGCTGCTGTATGTGGTTGGATGTGCTCCCCAATGCTTTGCAATGCCCTGTAAAACATCAGTTAACAATGTCAAAGCAATCCCAACAAACTAGTGAAATAGTTTGTTCTAGAATTGTATGAGCTGATCCCATGTGTATTAATTCTCACGTTTACCTTTGCTGCAGCTTAGCGTGGCTGTGTTAATGCAGCAGAAAAGTAGAAACAGAATAGCACTTACTTGGACCAAAGCCAATTGAATAACCACTGACAAAGGCCATCATACTAAGCAACATTATCCAATTTAATGCCAAATGTTTGGAGAAGCGAGTGGAGCCTATAGCATTCCGTCTGATGTGGCTTTTTGGGTTCTTCATATGAAAAGTTTCTTCTGAAGTAGGGAGCCAGGAGTCCACAACATCAACAACTTGAAGCGATCGATTGCTGCTGAAACGATCATCAAATGTAAAATGTGGGTTGTCAGGAACGGACGACATCGTGTTGACTTGGCTATTGTTGGTAAACCATGAGTTTGATTTCCAAACGACTGAGTCGGATGTTAAACTGGAGTTTAAGGTGTGGAAAGATCCATTAACCTGGGTTTCAACTCTGCAGGTTTTGTGTAATTCCACCGTAAGGTTCTGGTTCAGGAATGCAATCACAGTGACGGAAACAGACATCACAGTGCAGCCGCTCATCAGTAATGTCCGCCTGCCCACCTTGTCAGCACAAACCATGGCGACCAAAGTGGCCAGAACCTTCACTATTCCTAGTCCCACTGAAGCCAGGACTGCAGAATGGTTGCTGTGAAACCCCACGGACCTAAAGATGATCGAAGCATAGTATAGGACGTTGGGCTGCCCAGTCAGCTGCTGGGACATGACCAACACCAGAGCCACCACCATCCGAGTCCTCATGTTGTCCTTCGACCCAAATAGATCCAGGAAGCTGTACTGGTCCTCGATTCTTTCAGCCGAATGGACGTCTTGTGAGTCGAGGTGGTCGCGGTCTGTGCTGTACAGCTGCAGGAGGACTTTCTGGGACTCATCATCTCCAGTTGTGACACAGCGAGGGCTTGAAGGCAGGAAGATGAGGCTGAAACCCTGTAGGGCCGCTGGCCCGATGGCCAACCCAAACATGTACTTCCATCCACTTCCCACATCCGACCAAACGTAATTTAATGCATAAGCGCTTAATATTCCCACCGTGATCCCAACTTCATACAAAGACACCAACATGCCTCTCTGGTGAGGCCTCACCATCTCGGAAACGTATATACAGCAGGCGGTGGAGGAGACGGACATCGCGAATCCAATGACCAACCGTCCGGTCACCAGCACCGTGAAGGCGGACGCTAGTGAGAGGATGACGCTGCCTCCACATGTCAGGATCGTCCCCAGCAACATCGCCTTCTTCTTGCCGTGGTAATCGATGACCGGCCCTGCGACCAGCGAGGCCAGGAAAGCCCCAATGAGGAGAGCGCTGACCAGCACTTCCTGCTGCCAGCAGCTGAGCGCAAAGCTTTGCTGGAGTTGCAACAATGCCCCCGAGATGATGCCCAATTCGTACCCGAAAATCAGCCCCCCCAGGAGAGCCACTGTCGAACACAAGAAGAGCACGGAGGCTGTTTTGCCTGTAATGTAAAACCAACATTGATGAGTTGGCCGCAAATATTAGGAATTATTTGTTATTCATAATCCTTGCATTTGATGTAGCGCCTTATCATGTCGCTGCCATTGCTCAAAGAGATTTTACCATAACAAATTGGGCCAAAACAGTGTCACTAAAATCCACTCACCCATCTTTCCACACAGCTAATGCAGGATGTCTCTCTCTCTCTCTCGCTCCCTCTCTGCAGTGTAAGTCTCAGAGACTGAGCATCTGGACAAAGATCAGGACCGTTTCTGTATCAGATCGGATCTTCCTCTGAAAGTTATCGACAGCATCCTCCATAATTACTACACAATTCAACCCAAAGCCATCAAGTCCTGTGGTCATTCAGCACCATATAAATTCTTAACTAAACTGCATTACCTTCAGTTTATCGCATGTTAACTTTAGCTGTTTTGGTGCTTTCGCAAACTCACTGCGGCATGAAAATCAGGAAAGGCAAAAATCACTGGGAAGGGACCAGTTGACAATGGTTGGAAACCTACTGAGGGACATCAAATTGGTTTGTAACCAAAGCAACAAATTAGTCAATCAGTTTCAATCTACAGAAGAAGGATTAATCTTCATGTGGCGTTGTGATTGGCTCAGATCAAATAAAAAAACTAACCCATTTCTTATGGAAAATGAGGCCACTTGCATTTGGTTTCCCTGGAAACGCCTCTGACCTCATGGTTGTGAATGTGATACAAGTCCCACTATTCATCTGATTACTTGGTTTGGCATTTTCCCTTTGATTTGAGGAGGGAAATTCTGCGATGAGGAATGGTTAACTATTCATTTACAGTTTGTTAGAATACTGCAAAACAGCTGTACTGATCCAAAACTCTCGGTGCCTCTGTGTCAGAAAGTTGTGGGTTCAGATCCCATGTAATGACACAACTCATAGTCTGGGCTAACACTCCAGTCCAGTATTGGGGAACGTGACAATGTTGGAGGTGCCATCCTCAGATGAGACATGTGCCAAACTATACACTGTATCCCAAGATATTATTTCCTAAAACAGATCTATCTAATTGGTTTCTGAAAGAATCAACATTTTCTGCTTCCGCCATCTCCCTCAGGAGCCATTTCCGTACATTTACTACTCGTTCACTGAAACAGGGTTTCCATGGATTTGTTTTGAATTTAAAACCCCCCCTTTTCAACAGAAAGGTCATCTTTATTTGTCGACACATTTTGCTTTATTATTCTGAACAAAAGTTTTGTGTTTTCTCTCCAAGAGAAATTTTAAAAAGAAATGCATTTTATTTCTATTATTTGACTGATAATGACTTATTCTCTCCCCCCAAACCGACCCCTCGCCCCCCCCCCCCCCCCCCACCACCGCCCACTATTACTTCGCTCCACCTTCTACAGAAAATAACAACTCTCCCCTGACCGACTTTCTGTCTCTCTGTGTCTGTCTGTCTGTCTCTGTGTCTGTCTGTCTCTGTGTGTGTGTGTCTGTCTGTCTGTCTTAGTCTGTCTCTGTGTCTGTCTGTCTGTGTGTGTGTCTGTCTCTGTGTCTGTCTGTCTGTCTCTG